TCCAGCACCACATTTCAAAGGCATCAACTCTCCTTCTGTCCTCCCTAGTCATTATCCAGCTCTGTGACACATAGCAAATGATTGCAAAGACCATGGCCTGTATCAAACATATGGTAGTAAAATTAAAAGAGTTCTAATGTTTTAGAGATACATACTGATTTATCTGTAGATTTGTCTTTAATTTACTTCACATAAACATTTGTCATGATATACCCTGTGACCATAGTACTTGAAGGTCATTTTATCACTTAATCCTGAGGTCCACTTTCAGCCAAATACAATTTGACTTATAAAAGAAACCATTTCAGCTAACAGATGCTTCCCTGGATGTGCCCACAAAGTTGTGCCAAGAAATCTGAAGAACAATCACTTGGCCAACTGACTGGAAGAGATCTATGTTTGTTCCCATCCCAAAGAAGGGTGACCTAACAGAGTGTGGAAACTATAGAACAATATCATTGATTTCACATGCAAGCAAGATTCTACTGAAGATTATCCAAAAATGACTGGAACAGCACATCAACAGAGAACTGCCAGAAGTCCAGGCTGGGTTTAGAAAGGGTCGTGGTACCAGGGATATTGTAGCTAATGTTAGATGGATCTTAGCTGAAAGCAGGGAATACCAGAGGAATGTCTATCTGTGTTTCATTGATTATGCAAAGCATTTGACTGTGTGGATCATAACAAACTGTGGCTGACTCTGAGAAGAATGGGAATCCCAGAACACTTGATTGTGCTAATGTGAAACCTATACTTGGACCAAGTGGCAGTCGTCAGAACAGAGCAAGGAAACACTGCATGGTTCAGAATTGGGAAGGGTGTATGCCAGGGATGTGTCCTATCTCCATACCTTTTCAACCTGTATGCAGAACTGATTATCCGGGAGACTGGGCTCTATGAGGAGAGGTGTGGCATCAGGATTGATAGAAGATCTGCATTATGCAGGTGACATAACCCTGCTTGCCGAAACTGATGAGAACCTGAAGCACTTGCTACAGAGGGTCAAGGACTGCAGTCTTCAATATGGATTGAGGCTCAATATCAAGAAGTCAAAGATTCTCACCACTGGACCAATTGGCAGCATCAGGATAGATGGTGAAGAGATTGAGATTGTTCACAGCTTTAGTTTGCTTGGCTCCACAGTCAACACTCTTGGCGCTAGCAGCCAGGAAATTAAAAGATATATTGCGATGGGAAAGTCAGCTGTGAGGGACCTCTCGCAAGTACTGAAGAGCAATGATGTCACTCTGGAGACTAAGGTGCGTCTGATGAAGGCCATCGTCTTTGCAGTCACTTGTTATGCATCAGAGAGTTGGACAATTATTAGGGAGGATAGAAGGAGAATTGTTGCCTTTGATCTGTGGTGCTGGAGAAGAGTATTGAATGTACCATGGACTGCTAAGAAAACAAACAGATTCATCCTGGAGAGGGTTAAACTGAGCTGCTCTTTGGAGATAAGGATTCTGAGGCTTCGTCTGACATACTTTGGATATGTCATAAGGACAGACCTGTCCTTGGAGAGGGCCATCATGCTTGGGAGGGTGGAGGGACAGCGCAATAGGGGAAAACCCTCTGAAGTGGATTGATTCAGTGACTGGGGTAATCGGAGTGCGTGTGTCAGAAACTGTGAGATTGGCGCAGGACAGAAAAGGTTTTAGGGCTGTTGTACATTGGGTCGCTATGAGTCACAAGCAACTAGATCGCATATAACAACAGCGATAATACCAACAAAGTTATGTATTCTCTTAAACAACTAGATGGGTCTAAAAGGTCAACATTTAGCCAAAAGCAAAGATGAAAAGGCAAGGAGGGGAAGGGAAGCCCGATCAATGGAAACAGAAGAAAACAAATGGAAATAAAGACATTCTAACACATTGTGAAAGTTGTGACCACTGTCACAGAACAATTTGTGTAAAAATTGTTAAATGGGAACCTAATTTACTACTATACTTACATCTAAAACACAGTTAAAATATGTTTTACAAAAGTAATATGTTTAAAAAAATATTTTAGGGCAGTGATTTAGGGGTTCATGTAATCTTTTTTACTCCAGAAAGTCTGAATTTTATTAGGTATTTTTAAAATGTTTATCTGCAGTTTCCACATTTTGATCAGAATTCCTGTATAGATTTTTTTATCAAAATGCATTTAGCTGGGTGTCCTCTGGTTCTTTGGTCTAATGACAAGGGCAGCAATGAGCAGAGCCAGATACGCACACAGTCCATTTCTTTCTCTGCTTTGGACTCCTTACCTTGTTATTCCTGGTGAAGTCATAGAAATTGTTTGACCTTGGATGGTTTCTTGTCAGATTTTGAGACCTCAGGCATTATGTCACAAATACAGGTCAAATTCGAACTTCTTGCCATAGTGGGAACTGACTCATTGCTGACCCTCTGTAGGGTTTCTGAGGCTGAAAATGGCACAGAAGGAGATTGCCCTTCTTACTCAGACCTACAACTTAGCAAGTATTAAACACAACATTAGGGCAACTAATAGGATGTCTCATAAAAACATAATCCTAAACATCCAAACCATAAGTAGTCTCCGCAGCCTGCCCCCCAACCCCGTGAGGTAGATCTGTCTTATCACAGTTTCTAAGAATTCAATTTTTTACAGGCATATTATTAAAGAACTGTTCATCAGTGCAATATTTCCATCACTGTAAATCAAAATCAGTCCTCCACAAGGAGTTATTTCTGGTAACCACTTTCTTTTGCCCCTCAGAACCGCTATGAAAATTTGGTCTCTACATGTTCATTTGCTCTTGTCTTTTTATATGAATGAGATCATATAATATTTGTCATTTTGATTGACTTATTTTACTCAGCATAATGCCTGTATTCTCCATCTATATTATAGTATGTATTAAGATTTATCTTTCTTGTTAAGTAGTTCATTGTATGTATCTGCTAAAGTTTGTTTTATTTATCCATCCATCCATCCATCCATCCATCCATCCATCCATCCATTAGTGAGCACCTCAGTAATTTCCATTTTTAGTATTGTCAGCACTGCATTGAACACTGGTGTACTGCTTGAGTCTCAGTTTCAAACCTTTTTTAGGTTATATGCCTAGGACTGGAATTGTTGACTCATCAAGTAGTTCTATTTTCACTCTTTTTTAGGCAGTACTGTAGATTATGTTTTCAGAAATGGCTGTGGATAAGCCAACAAATAAACAAATTTAACTTATATCAGAATGAAAGTGAAACCAGTCAAGCCAGTTTGAAGCTCTTTTGATAGCTGAGATGAAGAATGAGTGTGGTTTGCAGTGTTGTTGCTGCTATGTTCCTTTGAGATGGAACTAACCCATAGCTGGCCCTCCTGTGGGTTTTCAGAGGCAGCACATCACACGGAAGGAAGGTCGCTTAGCTTTTTCCTATGGAGCAGCTTGTGGATTCAAACCACATTCTTTTTGCATTGTGGTTTGGAATGACGTGGTACTAATGGGTCAGTGTAAAACTGCTGACTTTTACTGGGTTGCAAAAGAGAGGAGCCAGTACAAACCACATTCAGCCAAGCCAGCAGTCTCACTTCAGTTTCATGACCATGAACCTCAGATGGGCTCATATTTCTGCAGGTAACTACACTGTCCTTCCTTGGTCTAATCATATCTCTGCTTTCCAAAATGCTATTATGTACTGACTCCAAAGTGATTTCCCCCTGTGTGAGATGCTGCCTCTGAAAACCCACCAACTTCACCAATTTAACTTTCATTCCAATAGATGTATGTAGAGGTACATACTAATATATTTATGGATGTAATCATATCTTTAATTTACTTCCATATAACCTGTGTAGAAAAGTGAAGGAGAAATGGATGAAGCCAGATTGGCCATGACCCAGTCATTGTTTAAATGAGATGCTGGGTACAGTGGCCTCAATACGCTCTCCTCTAAATTTACATGGGTTCATAACTTTTCTTAATAAAGAATCTTGTAAAACTCCTAGAAAAATGTATAATATTTCATAAATTGATAACTGGGTGAATAGATAAATAAAACATGGCTTGATTAATATTTTGCACACACATATACAGGTTCAAAATGAAGTTTCATGACATACTTTCTAAGTCCATTTTAATACTACCTAACTTGGGAGAGATTGGAGAACATTATGCTTAGTGAACTAACTCTGTCTCATAAGGATAAATACTGCATATTTTTATTCAAAAAATAGAAGATTAACTACTAAAACATGTATGGGGGCTGAAAGGTAGAAGGGGTGGAAACAGAGGGGAGAGGATGGGTAGGAATGAGATCACAGAGTTGCACAATGTGGTGAGTAGAGGGAAGGGGTAAAAGAAATAGGAAAGATCCTTTGGGGACCTGAAAAGACAATGTAATGATTGGACCTAGTCCAATGGTAATTAATTTTATATAACATAAGGCATATGAATGATTGTATGAAACACCAAGTGAATGAAGAGTAGTGTGAAACACAATGTATATGAACTTTTATGCAAACCAATATAAACATTTCAAAAAAGAAATATCGAAGCATGTTGTGAAGCAGCTGGGGTAGGAGTAGCTTTGTTCTGACCTTCTAGAGGCTTTTAGTGAAACTAGCTTTTGAATATAGCCACATTTCCTTGATGGACTGTGAGGTGGAGACAAGGTTCAGCAGGGGAAGTACAAGATCTTCTCCCAGAGGACATCTAGAGACGTGCTTGCTGCCTCACCTTGCTGTCCACCGCCTTCTTCACATTGTTGCAGACGGGTGCAGTATTGCCAGTACTTTGGATTTTTACAACTCTTTTCTTCTGAATAATTTACAACATCTTTTTGAGCCATATCAAGGGTGAAGGTGAGAAATCCAGGAAGTGCATATTAAGGAAAACAATTGTTTGCATTAGAGGAAATAATCGGGATAAAGAATAAAGTTGGAGGAGATCAAGATCTGAAGTTAGTCAGATCCATTGAAGGGCATATTTGTTACAGAGTGTCTATTTAGAAATAATTTGAAAACTGATTGTTTGCAACCCAACTGCTTGTCCCTAGAACAAGAGGCAGAGGAAGAGGACGAGGAAAGAGGCGATTTGGCCCAGGTCGACGGCCAGGGCGCCCTCCAAAATTTATCCGTTTGGATATAGGCAGTGAAAATGGAGAAAAGTGTGACGACGGGACACAGGTACCTGGGGGCTTGGGGAAGAAGAATTCTTCCTTCTCACTGAGAAGATCACCAGGATTGTGACCGTACAAATGCCTGCCCGATGCTTAAAGTCCTCTCATTGGTGCTCTCATAAGGTGTGACTCTCAGGACGTCAAGTCGATTCACAGTGACTGATAGAATTGCCTCCGGAGTCTCCAAGGCTTTCATTTTTATGGAAGCAGGCTACTCCAGCTTTCTCTCATGGAGCTGCTGGGGAATTTGCACTGTTGACCTTAGGGGTCTCATTTTTAACTATTCCAATACCAGGAGGACTCCTTAAAGTGTGATTAGAGAAAAGCCACAAAGAACAAATTTTCAATGTTATGACAAAAGCTTATCTTTGTTGAACTAAACATTTTATATTGATTGGAAATAGTAGAGAGGGATTTTATGTTTCATTAGTTTAAACAATTAAAAATTATTATGATAGTCTAGAAAAGTCACATCACAGTATTCTCCTCAGAAAGTGGTCCAGAATATATTAAAAGCTGTGCATTTTGTATATATTTACCTAATTAGCTTTCCTAGAGGGAGAATATAATTTCCTGAGCATTCTGATATTGTTGTTGTTAAGTGCTGTCAATAGCGACCCTATGAACACCTCTGTACAGCCATGCACAGACCAGTGCTATACCACTTAGAAAATTCTTATATTAGTCATTTAAAAAATAACACTCCAAATCTTCTCTGACATTCCTTCTAGAACTAATCTCTACGCAGCAAGGAAGTAATTGCTGGTTATGTGATTTGCACTTTCAGGACTTGCTTCATTTTTCCAGCAAGGAGCATTTTGACGAGGGTGAGACTGCTGCTCTGAATGGTCTTGATCAACCGGATCAGCCCTCTCTCTCAGTACCTCAGTTGCCACAGGACACGCAGTCATCTTTGGAACATGACGCTGGGGCACACACCCTGCATCTGCATCCAGAGCATGACGAGAGCGTAGTCCCCACTCAGAGTACCCTGACGGCTGACGATATGCGGCGAGCCAAACGCATCCGCGTAAGTAGGCCAGCAGGTTCCTTCTCCCCCGCCAGCCAGCTTTTTAGGTGCTTGAGTTCTAACTTACTCACCATCCACTTTGTAATCTTGCACCGGTCCCATCAGATGCTTACTCCCTTGTTTTGCAAGAAAATAATAAAATATATTAAAAATCTTTTGTATCCTATGGGAGGCTGGAGTGGCTGCCCCCAGATCTGAATTAATTATTTAGTAGTGACTCTGAATCCTTAATTTTGTCAGCTCCTAATTAAAAAAGGATGGTTCTTTAACCCCACACCCACAGATTGGAAATAGGTAAATAAGTGAGTTAAGTTATAATAATTATTTACATTTTAAACTTATAACTTTGTAACTTGTAAATTAATTTTGGGTGATTGAATTTAGTTATCTACATTTTCCAAAGGGACCCTCTGTCTGCGTTACCTTAACAAGTACAGTCTGCACATCTTAGAATGCCATTTTTTTTATTATTTAATTTTTTTGTTGTTTCTGTTGAGAAATATATACAACAGAATATGCCCCGATTTAGCCATTCCTCCTTGTATAGTTTAGATACCTGGGTCACATTCTTCAAGCACTACAGCCGCTTCTACCCTCCCTCCCTGCAACATCTTGAAGAAGGCTCTTTCTTCAGCACCTCACTCCTTGTCTTGCTTGTTTTACCTGTGTCCTGGCTCATTCCATGCTTTTGCTTGGCTTCCATGACTTCCAATTCAGATGTGTTTTGTTTTGTTACTTTATTGACAGATTTTGAATTTAGCAAGATGTGTGGGATATGGGATGGTTTTGTTGGATGAATGCCCTTGCTGGCAATTTACATCTTGAGAACATTTGCTTTATACTATGTTTGTGGCAGCTAGGAATGTAAAGACTTCTACTAGTACTCTATGTGCAGGTGGAAGAGACTGCATAATTTGCCAGACTTGACAATCTCCATATGAATTCTTTTGGCCTGCCCATTTGCCTATGAGGGACTTGTATTTTATTGTATTTTTGTCTTCTTAATTTGCCTGTAGGCTAGAAGGGACCTTGAAAAAAAAGGCTAGGCCATGCCTTCTTGTGAAAATGTGTTTAAGCATTCTAGAGCCATTTGATAGCTCTGAAGACCTTTAGAGGTCTTTTAGAAGCTTCTAGAAGCTCTGAGGCTAACCAGCCTTTATGAGGACCCTGGAATGAAAATATTAAATCTTTGATTCAGTGTATTTTAATTTAAACATATTTGTAACAATGGGAATCCAAAATCTCTGTAAATGCTTATTAAAATTATTTTTAAAAAAAGTATTTGTAACCATACATGAATATAGACGAGAAAGGCGAAAAGCTATCAATGAACACCTTCCCGCTCAACATTGTGTGGAGATTCCTTCTCTGCATTTCTTTTTACCCAACTGCTGTCTTTGTTTTTTGCTTTGGCCAGTCTGAATTTTTTTTAAAGCTAGAGAAATGCTATCTTTATTTCTTCATTTTAAGAGAAAACCTAAAGCCCACACATGGAGTGAGGTTGTGGATGAGCAAGCACAGTCTGTACTGCATGAGCTGGGCTCCTCGTTCATCCCACTGTTCCTAATCTCCAAGCAGAAACTGTGTGTGTGTTATCATTTTGGAGGTCAGTCTTGGTTGAGCCATATTTTTCCCCTCAAGCATTCAAAAAAGTAGGGCTGTATATTTTTCATCTTTTCCATCCAGGTTGGTACTGACCAACTGAAAGGAAGCCTTCCAATCCAGTTGGTAATGTAACTGTTTTTCTCTCCTCTAACGCTGCCTGCTCAGCTGGAGCTGCAGGTAGGTTTGTCTCCTGTGTTTCATGTGACAGAATGTTTAACTGTTTGCCTGACCTGCTGTTCTTTGCAACCTGTACTTACTAAATCCTGGTGGAAACCACAGTTTGGTTGCTAAAGTAGATACAGATTAGTTAATGGATAATTCTTATTTGCAAATACACTGATTGATAAATTGTGGGCCTCTTGTTTCTTCCTATACACGATGCAGGGATATAACTAAGTAATCTCCAGATCCCTTCCAGCTCTAGCATCATCAGGAATGGTAGTAAGTTCTTTGGGTCAGCATTGTTCTGGGAACTAAGACATACAATAGGATTTGCACTGAACCCTGCCTTCTAGGGGCTTACAGTGTAATTAACAAGATGATGCTAACAACTATGTGCTAAATTTAGGATCATAGCTTATAATTGCTGTTGGAACTTGGAAGAGAGAAAGTCCTGAGGAAATTGGAGGAGTCAGCGGATAATTTATGCACAAGGTGTGGCTTAAACAAGTTTTTGAGAGAGAGCTAGGATTTAGCTGTACAGGAAGGAGGTAGAACATTGCAGATGAAGTAGAATCATAGGGCTTTAGGGCTAAACAAAAGGACTTCTCATGAGATGGTCATGGCCACTGAGAACACAAGCTTACTGCTATGTCAGGGGACAAGGGACAGAGATGCTGGGCAGAGGAGCTCACCAAAGGCTTTGAAAGATGAGGAGAAAGTAGGACAGTGAAAGGCTGTTAAAGGAAACGAACATGATTGATTTTTCTTTTTCATCTAATTCCAGGAGCAAAATAGTATAGAAATTCCTTAATGATTTGGGTTCATTTAGAAATAACATCCTACTTTAGAGAAATTTTGTGGTCTTGTCAGGTAGGAATTTTTCATCTGAGAACTCATTCCATGTGTGTTGATGAGTCCTGCATCACAGACTTTAGCAATTGAACCCTTGATTGTGCTCGTGTGACACCTATACTTCGAACAAGAAGCAGTCAAAGAAATGGTTCAAAATCAGGGATGTATCCTGTCTCCATATTTTTCAATCTGAATGAACAACAGATCTTTTAGGATTCGCAATTTTATGAGGAGGATTATGGCATCAGGATTGGATGAAGACACATCAACAACCTGTGTTATGACACAACCTTGCCTGCTGAAACTGAGGAGGACTTGAAGCATTTGCAATGGAAGGTCAAGGACTGTAGTCGTCAATATGGATTATACCTCAACATCAAGAAAACAAAGGTTCTCACCACCAGGCCAATTGGCATCATCATGATAGATGGAGAGAAAATGAGGTTTTCAACAGTTTCATCTTGCCCAGCTCTACAATCAGCACTTTTGGTACCAGCAGTCAGGAAATAAAAAAAACCAGTTGCTTTGAGAAAATCTACTGTCAGGAACCTCTTCTCAGTCTAGAGACTACGGTGTGCCTAATCCAAGCCATGATCGTCTCACTTGATGTCCATTTGAGAGCTGGACAATGACTAAGGATGACAGAAGAAGAATTAATGCCTTTGAGTTGTGGTGCTGGAGAAGAGTATTGAACATACGATGAACTGTAAAAAAAAAAAATCCAAAAACCCCAAAAAACAACAAACAGCAGGTCTGCCTTGGAGAGGGTGAAAGCAGGTTGTTCCTTGGAGGCAAGGATTGTGAAGCTCCATCTCACAAACTTTGGGCATGTTGCCAGGAGAGATCAGTCCTTGGAGAAGTACATCATGCTTGGAATGTTCGAGGGTCAGCAACAAGAGAGGAAGACTCTGGATGAGATGGATTGACACAGTGACTGTGGCAATGGGGGCAGGTGTGTCAGAGACAGTGAAAATAGTTCAAGATAGGGCAGATTTCAGAGCTATTGTGTATAGGATTGCTGTGAGTTGTAGCCGACTTGAAGACACATGGCAACAACAACAACAACAGTAACCCTTGTCATGGAGCTGGTGGCTTATTGGTGAGGAGTTTCACTGCCAATCCGAAGGCATGCAGTTCGAATCCATTAGCTGCTCTAGGAGAGAGAGATGGATAATCTACTCTCGTGCAATTTACTGCCTCTGAAAACTCCCTAAAGGGTCATCTATGGAGCAGTTCTGACTCGGTGGCACACAGGAACAACAGCAACCCTTGGCATCCTTGGTTAGCTGCTGTGCCCCACAGTTTGAATGATGGTACTCAGATACCAGATGGTCCAGTGCTTGCTTCTGTGCTGCCTAACTTCTGTGCCGGCTCCACCATATTTTATGATTTCTGTTGGAAAGGTGTTACAGTGGTGAGCTCAGAGCTGGAAGAAGCCTTCATTAGGGAGGGCCTGTAGGTGATTGGGATGGGAGGAATTTCAGCATGCTCACTAAGCAGTGTGTGTGTGTGTGTAAGCACTCTGAGTGTTTAGTCAGGCTCTGAGGACAAGGTTCCAGGATCTGTAGAAATTAAAAAAATAATGAGACTAAGATTGGATGCTATAACTAAGATAGCAGAGCCAGGTGGCTACTCAGTTTAAATCAGTATCTGAAGGCACACCAGCTAATCGGAAAAGACAGCAGACTGATTAGCATAAAGGATCAAAACAGTTTGAGTTCAGGATTTGACACCCAAGGAAAAATGAAATCCCAGTGGAATTAAGATCAATTCTTCTTGTCAGTTGTGCTTCATGTCACTCCATAGTCACATTTTGATTAAAGGAAATATTTCTTAGATGCTTAACGTGCTCTAAATCTTTAATTTCTTACTCTGATAGCATTTATTTGTAGTGTTTCCATAAAGTTTGAAGAACTTTATGTAAAATAAGTATTTGTCCAGAGAGTGTAAAAAGATTAGTGACTGTTACAGAGTGTTAATGAAGTGAAGGAAACTCTGTGACAGATTTTAAAATGATTGGATCTAAAGACCTCTCTCTGCCTCTGCTATAAAAAGATCCAGAGATGTATGTGTGGGCTTCTCTCCCCTCAGTATTTGTAGCTCCACTTGAGTTACATTTCATTAATTTTCACTGTTCATGTCCTTGGACCCAAATGATAATAAATCATTTGCTTACAAAGTCATTTGTTACAAGTATCATGCACACTGTCCAAGTCAATTTAGGAAACCAACCTAATTGCTCAAAATCTAAAATAGAATTTTAAACATCTCCATGATGTGCCTTTAGCTCAGAGAAGGTAGTTTTGTTTTATAATAACAGACATCTCATTTAGCATTTCCACTGGATTAAAAACAATTGTTTTATTTTTCCCCTGACATGATTGATTCATATTACATTTTGTTTGGTAGTTGCTGCTTGGGGATAATTTGAAAATTTGGGGTAAAAATATTGGTTACTGTGCTTTTCCCACTGCACAATATCACATGTAGATTTCCATTAATTCTACTACTTATAATTTGCTCATAGACACATTTCTTCACAGATGTAGTTTTGAGGACTCTGATACCCTGAGGAATGTATGAGTGGGTCTCATCGCTGTGTAACTAACGTGCTTATGGTGTGTCACTGTGAGAAGGACTATGGATCTGCTCTCAAGAGAGCATGAGTAGTTTGCATTCAATGTATGCATTCCCTTACTTGGATTCCCTTATAACGATTGCATGAATTTACAGGATGGCTAATTATCATTACAGGTGAAATCTATTACTTTTCTTTTTTAAAGAAAAGAAAAAAAGCAAAATTGAGAAAACTGAGAGGGAACAAGACAATGAGCTTATTTTGTCAGCATGACATTCTAACTAGTGGAGCTAATCTGCTACATAGGAACCCTGTGGGGAATTACTCGGTGCATATACTCCCATTCATGTGAACTTGTGTATCATATCTCAGGTACAGACACACATAAATGCTAACCTTGTGTTACCTTCTCAGTTCTCTCCTTAAGTTGATGTCTAATTACACGTCATAAAATTAATGCTTTTCCATGAATGCCTTTTTCTGTGGTTTCTCAGTGTGTTCTGAAAGTTGTGCAGCCATTCCCCTAGTACACAGTAATTTTAGCAAAGGAGCTCCAGCCCATCAGCTGTCAGTTACTGTTCCTTCCTGCTCCGGACCCTAATAACTACTGCTGTTAGTTATTTTCTGTTACTTACCCCCAAATATTTTCATACAACTTAAAATTTATTTTTCCAAAGGCACAAGTCGCTTTTGGCTTACCTCTCTAGCCTCCTCAAGCATATATGACTCACCACCAAGGTTTTTTCTTCTACATCTTCAGTCTTTATTCTACCTCACTTGGGAATTTGTTTTTGATACAGATCTTGTCTTGGAAACATTATGAATGTTACCTTAAAGCAAAATAAAGCAAAACCCCCTCCTATCTTTTGAAGATGATCTTCTTTGGATTTGGCTTCCCTTTCGATGTCTTTCCCAGTAAATTCATCCTTCCTGGTGTACTAAGAGCCTGTAGCTGCAGAGCTTAGCCTTTCTGCCAATGTGTGAGCCACCTGTGCATTTGGATTTTCTCACTAAATCATTGTTTTTGTGTGTATGTCTTTCAGAACGCAGCTCTTCAGCATCTGTTTATTCGGAAATCTTTTCGGCCTTTTAAATGCCTGCAGTGTGGGAAGGCCTTCCGTGAAAAGGACAAACTAGACCAGCACTTGCGCTTCCATGGGCGGGAGGGGAACTGCCCCCTGACCTGTGACCTCTGTAACAAGGGCTTCCTCAGCAGCGCCTCCCTGGAGAACCACATGAAGCTCCATTCTGATCAGAAGACTTACTCTTGCATTTTTTGCCCAGAGTCCTTTGACCGTCTTGATTTGTTGAAAGATCATGTGGCCATCCATATCAATGATGGTTACTTCACCTGCCCAACTTGTAAAAAACGTTTCCCAGATTTCATCCAGGTGAGTGCCTTACACTGAGATTCCTGTCTGTTACTCCCCCTTTTTGGCAAAAGAAATTGGTTTCTTGGAAAATTGAGACCACAACCTAGCCCCTGCTGTTTCTTTCATCTGTCCTTTGAAATACTGTATAGTTGGCAACAGCGTTTCTTCAAACTACTTTGATAAACAAAAAAGTGTTATGATCCTTAGTTATCCACACAAAACTTTTGAAATTTAAACATGTAAATTATTACTAGTAATAAACACCCAAATCTGATTTGAATTTGAGTAGAACTTGCCTGTGTCCATCCATTCTCCAGAAATGGGTGTGTAGAATCTGGGCTTGGACACCTCTCCCTGCCCAGCTGGTTTCCTGCCATGCTGCACTGAGGTGGTCTTTCCAGCAGGGGGAGCTGGCACAGTAGTTTTGAAGGACTGTTCTCTGCCCTCCAGCTTTGCTGAAGGAAAGGTGAAAAGGAATTCCACAACATTCATTCTCTTATTTGGATTTCAAATGCTATCTATGAACAATTAAACTCAAGTAGCTAGTAAAAATTTTTTAATTTTTTTAAAAAAACCAAAGCAAAAGAAGACTAGGTTTTAATCATAGTTTTACTAATGTTGGGGACCTTGGAAATTTTCTCACTTCACACAAACAACTATAAGTTTACTTTAAAGCAGAGTCTAAAGGCAACAGAGGCTCTCAATATAATCCAGCAAAGTATTTTAAAGAAGTAGTTCGCTGTGATTCATAATTTAGCTCTTGTGCACAACTCTTCTCTCTAGGTATTTATGACTAGAAATGTCTTGAGGTTCCTAGTGTTTTATTTAAGTTATCTAAAGGGAGTAAGTCCTAATTGAGGAGCTCTGAGTCCAGTATTATACTGCTTTCATAAATAGGTAATGTTTTCCATAGCATCTACTTCACGCCTTTAATTCTTAAGGATCTGGTTCTATTCTCATGCTGGAAGGCCAGAACCAACTCAAAGCTGATCCTTCACTGGCTTTTCAGAGGCAGTAAATTATGCAGGAGAAGATTGCCCATCTTTCTCCCAAGGAGCAGTTGGTGAATTAGAACATTTCAATTGGCAGCATAACTCCTTACCATTACACCAGTAGAGCTACATTGTGGAGACAGGGGGGAAAAATGAGAAAGAATTATTTATTGGTCATCTTCTGTAGATATTTTTGGCCCAAATTAACAAAACTTCCTCCTATTCTGATTTATTTAAAACCTCAATAACTCTCCTATCAACCTTAAAAAAAACACAAGAAAAGTAGTCTCTAAGTAGTTAGACCTTTGCTCAAGCAAAAATACTCCTCTTTCTACATCTCCAGGTGAAAGGGGGGTTCAGACTGCTAAGGCTTTGCAACATGGACAGTATATACTGTTGATCCAGTGAGGCTACATATCCAGATGAGGCAATCCGTGGGCTCCCTCTAGCGTTTGTCATTTCTGGTGCTAAGTCCCCTGAGTTTGTTTGTGGTCTCCACTGCTAGGTGAAAAAGCATGTGCGCAGCTTCCACTCAGAAAAGATATACCAGTGCACAGAATGTGACAAGGCCTTCTGTCGTCCTGATAAACTGCGCCTCCACATGCTCCGGCACTCAGACCGCAAAGATTTCCTGTGTTCTACATGTGGAAAGCAGTTTAAGGTACTGTATCCAGTCATGGCTTTAGAAACTATGTGTCAAACAGGAGAGCATAATCACTTCATCACTTGAGATTCATGAGAAGGCCAAGTGCTTATGTGTGACCTCTCTCCTTGCCAACAAGTTAGAACTGGCTCACAGCTGACTCTCCAATGGGTGTTAAAAGGCTATAGGTCACAAGACAGAAGGCTGCCATCCTACTTCTGCAAAGCAGCTAGTAGATTTGAATGGTATTTTGTTTTCTTTTTATTTGTTGCTGAATTTATTATAATGACTGACTTAGTTATTGTAGTAAATTAAGGGGGAAGAATACATTTTGTTTCTAAAACGGTGAATTCAAATCTCCATGTCAAATGTAATGATAATATATTGTGTTTTAAAAGAATCCACATGCATACTGACCAGAAGAAATACAATTCAGGATTCTAATGAGAAAAATGTACTTTCTTACCACTCAGATTAGTCATGGGGGAGGGTCAGTGAAAGAGAGGAAGACCTTCATGAGATGGACAGACACAGTGACCGCAGCAGTGGGCTCAAGTGTGTCAGAGAGGTTGAGGATGGCACAGGCGAGGACGGGGTTCAGATCTGGTATTCATAGAGTGGCTGTGAATTGTACTTGACTTGATGACATCTCACAACAGCAACAATTAGTAATTTTTATTGAGCACTTACTAGGTTAGCCATGATAATGGAGCTTGGAGGCGTCAGGGGACTCATCTAACAGGTGGGGATTTGTAGACAGCAGAGGACTCAGATGGCTTTGAAAACTGCAGATGACTTCAAGGATTTATCCTTCAAACCTGAACAAAACTCACTTCCATGGCTCAGCTTGAAGCCAAACAGTATAGAGGCCTGTGAAGTGACTGGTAGGGGCCACTCACTCCTGACAGCCAATTGTATAATGTTGAAAGAACAGCATTTGCCCAAGGATAAATCCCAGAAAGCAGAAAGGGAAAGAGCAGAAGGGTTGACAGAAATGAGAATTACAGGGAAGAAGTGGGAAGAGTGAGATTATACCTTGTAAATTTGTAATTAATATTATAGTGCAAAATATGTATGATTAAATTAAATACATTGTGCTTTGTAAAATTTCACTAAATCATAATGAATAAAATGGCTTCAAGGAGTAAAATAAATGATAAATGTGAGCAAGCTCCTATACCAAATATCATACTAGAACCTGATACAAAAAGTCTTTCTGCTTCCATTTCCCCTTCATTTAATTGATTAGAGTTTTACCATGGAGCTGGAAACACAATGAGTCTATGGAATAAGGGATTTCATAGAATAACAGCATTAGTAATAGAAGGAGGTGGAGAAATGAGATTCTGGAAGGTCGCCTGGAGGATCAGAAAAGTCAATCCACATCTTTCTGAAGCCCTACTGTGAAAAGACATGAAAACTTACATGGAAATCTGGAGATCTGGGCTGAGCTGAGGCAGGAGACCTGGGCCATGTGTGGGAGACTGGGTCTGTACGTCTTCTCATCAAGAAGGTGAGCTGGTTGTTGAGTGGAAGAAAGTGAGGCTCCCAGAGATGCTCTGAGGCTGGCACTGCCTGTGGCCACTTTGACCCTCAGTGCACATGACTGCTATCCTAATCTGTCTTCTACCCTGTCACAGCTCTTCTGTTCTCTAAGTCTAACGTAGACCCGTACTGTGACAGGGATTCAGATTACATATAATTCCCTTAACCAAGTTAACCCAGTGCAAAAATCACCACTTACCTTTAAGAAACAATGTTCATCCCCCACTGACCAAACTGTGCAGCTCTGCAACTGCATCCTGGCCCATCCTCACCCTTCTGCCCCCAACCCTCACCTCCTTGTACCCCCAATATATTTTTCCCAATAAAAGGAAAAAAAAAGAAACAATGTAATCCAAGTTTTTTTCTAGAGAACACTCTGATGCCATGTCTTTACTGGAAGACCCTATAATAACTCTTCATTGACTTCAAAAGTGACTCCACAATAATTATTACATTGAAGACACTGTAACACCTACCTCTTAGTATCCCTCAAAAGCACAGCTTGCTTTGCTCTCTTGACTATATTGAACTGTTTGAATGCACTCGAGTGTGGTGTGAACTTTACAATTGCTCTCTCAGTGTCCTATACTTAAAATCAGCTTTCAGCCTTCATGTTGTTTCCCCTGGCTGATGTCACACCACCAGGGAATTTCCTAGATCCCTCTAAACTATGAATTTCAGCAGAGACAGTCTCCTGTGCTGGGACTGACAAAGAAGCATCAGGTCACATTTGTAGACAAAAAGAATATTTGAAGATTTATCCTAAAGTACAGTGCTAAAGTACATAGTATCCATATGCACACAAAGAAGTCCTGTTAATACAAGTGTCATTGAAAGCACACACCAACCATTAAAGTCAAGATGAAGAAATTGAGGGTTTCTACCAACTTTTGCAGCCTGAAGTGGATTGAACACACAATCAAGATGCATTAATAATAGTGGGTGACAGAATTCAAAATTTGGAGACAAAGAAGGACTAAAGTTGGAAACTATACCCTTGGTGTCAGAAATGAGGCTGGAGATTGAATGATAAAATTTTGTATAATAAATGACTTACTCATTGAAAATACCTTTAAAAAAAACCCCATAAACCACCCTGTGGTTTCCCCCCTATGGTTTCACCCCTACCTATCTTGTGGGTGCGTGGAAGTAAATGGAAGGATCTAGGTGAAAAGACAGGGTTAATGATGGGCAAGACCCAATAGTGATTAATTTTGTAAAACATAATATTTGAGGATGATTGTATGAAACAGAATGTGAATGAAGAATAGTGCGAAATACAACATATACGAACTTTATAAGCAAACCAGTTTAAAAAATAAAAAAAAAAAAAAAACCAAACAGTGACTATACACATGGATCTCACAGGAATCAAATGTACAATGTCTGTGGGAAAAGTTGATGGGGAAGATAAAAACAGTTGATGGGAAACAGTCAAAACAAGGCCAAGAACTGACTATAGAATTGACCATCAGTTACTCATGGGCAAGTTCAAGTTGAAGCTGAGGAGAATGAAAATAAGTGAATGAGAACCAAAGTACAACCTTGAGTCAATTCCACCTTAATTTCAAACATTCTTATGAACAGATGATGACTGAAGACCACATAATTGTAGGGATGACATCAAGGACAGTATCCATGAAGAAAGCAAAAAGCTATTACAAAAACAGACAAAGAAAAGGGAAAAATGGCTATTAGTGGAGACTGAAACGTTCACCACACTATCTTCTTGTTATGTGCCGCTGAATCGCTTGTGACCCATAGCAACCCTATGTACAAGAGCCGTAAACACCGTTCTATCCTGTGCTAGCCTCACGATCTCAAACTCACTCATTCCCACCACTCCACTCACAGAATCAATCCATCTCATCAAAGGTCTTCCTCTCCTGCGCCGCCCCTCCACTCTCCCAAACATGTTGTCCCTCTCTAAGGACCAGTCCGTCCTTGCAACATGCCCAAAGATGTCAGACAAAGCTTCAGAATCCTTGACTCCGAGGAGCATTCCGGCTTCACCCTCTCCAGGACAAACCTGTTTGTTCTCCTAACAGTCCATGGTATATTCAACACTCTTCTCCAGCACCACAGCTCAAAGGCATCAATTCTCTTACTGTCATCCCTAGTCACTGTCCAACTCTCTGATGCATAGCATGGAATTGCGAAGACTATAGCCTGGATCAGGTGCACCTTAGTCTCCAGCCTGACATTGTTGCTCTTCAGTACTCTTGTGAGAGGACCCTCACAGCTGACTTTCCCAATGCAATTTGTCTCTTGATTTCCTGGCTGCTGTTACCAAGAGTGTTGACTGTGGAACCAAGTAAACTAAAACTGTTAACTATCTCAATCTCTTCACCATCCATACTGATGCTGCCAATTGGCCCAGTGGTGAGAATCTTTGTTTTCTTGATGTTGAGCCTCAATCCATATTGAAGGCTGCGTTCCTTGACCTTCTGCAGCAAGTGCTTCTGGTCCTCCTCAGTTTCAGCAAGCAGGGTTGTGTCATCGCATAACACAGGTTGTTGATGACTCGTCCACCAATCCTGATGCCACATTCCTCCTCGTACACCACAATATAAAAAAGCTGAAACAAAGGGGAAGGAACCCTGTAGTAAAAGAGACTAGCAGAATATTTCAAATGGCAGCTTAAGAAAACAAAGCAAAGTATTACAATGAAATGTGCAGAGTTGTAGTTAGAAAGCCAAAATGGAAGAGCATCCTCAACATTTCTCAGCTGAAAGGACTGAAGTACAAATTCAAACTACAATACTGAAGGATTCTATTGGCAAAATCTTGAATGATGCAGGAAGTATCAAAAGAAGATGAAAGGTATACAACTATCACTGTATCAAAAGGAATTGATAGACATTGAATCATTTCAGGAAGTAGCATGTGATCAGGAACCAGTGGTACTAAAGGAATAAGTTCAATCTGTATCAAAGGCATCATTGACAATTTCAGTCTTTTCTCCATGCATCATAATCCTGCTTGTCAGTCCAGTGGTGAAGATTTTTGTCTTCTTGATATTGAGATGCAATCTGTATTTAAGGCTGTGTCTTTGATCTTCTGCACCAAGCATTTCAAGTCCTTACTTTTAGCAAGCAAGGTTGTATCATCTACATAACCGGTTGTTAATAAGTCTTCCTCCAATTCTGATATGTCAGTCTTCTTCAGAAAGTCTAGCTCTCGAATAATTTGGTCAGTATACAGATTGAATAGGTATGGAAAAAGGATACAAGCCTGGTGATACTTACCTTTCCCTATTTTAAACCATATACTGTTCACTTGCTCTGTGTGAACAACAGCTTCTTGGTCTAGATAAAGGTTTCATATAGGAACTGTTATTTATACTTGTCATAGTTCTTAATATAATCCTTTTAATTATCCATGTCCCTAAAGGACAGTCTTTGTGAGCACAGCATATATAAAGACAACGTGGGACATTTTAACTTTCAGAAGCTCACAATTTAATAGAGGAATTAGTCACGTAGATTATAAAACATTATTATTACTACTGTCAGGGAAAAGACTGCTGTGAGAGGGATTGCTGTGATTTGGTGTATAGATGAGGTGACACTTTGAATGCACTGAAAGAAATGAGGGAGAGGAAATGATATGACAGCATGAGCACACTGGGGAGTGTGTCAGGAGAATAGAGAATGTGTCAGGAGGGGTGAGATGTGATGGAATGCATGGTGAGGGGGACATGGTGACACAAACCCCAAGGAGAACGTGTAGGTCAGCTTGTGATGTCAAGTGGTACGAGTCAGCGGTGAAGTGCACGCAGAGATGTTCTAGAGTAGGACCTAATCTAAGACAAAGTCAGTGACATGGAGTGAAGATGAGGCTGCTGGCACATGCTTGAAGGTGAGCTAGGACCTGGGGCCAGATGAATTATGAGGGATGCCCAGCAAGGAATTGACGTCTTTAGCTTGGAAGGTTAGATAAATACCTAACACTGCTGATACAGGAGGAGAGAGAGTAGGGGCTGCATAATAAATTTGGTTTTGTAGGTGTCATGATGAAAAGGCATTGTGGAAATTTAGCATTTGCAAACAGGCCTATTCTTGGATTTACAGCATCAAATTGCATTTTGTTTACCTGTGTGATTTATGTAATGATTCAGGAAAGCCCTACTATTTGAAGTCAATGGGTAAGGGAAAACTAATGGATGCTGATGTTTGGGGAGAAGTGGAAACACAAGAGAAGCAGAAGGTACTGTGGGTGAGTAGTGTGATACAGCTGGCTGTAAGGCTGAGTTCCTTCAAGTCAGAGGTGGCACTGGCATCACTGTTGCTCTTATCATGATATACAGTGTATCACTGTGTCTGTATTAATGAGTTGTTTTTATCATTAGATGCTGTTGAATTACTTCTGACTGTACAAAATAGCATCACTACACACAGCAGATTAAAACACTGTCCTGTGTCGTCTTCAAGTCATTGCTCTGCTTGTACCCTCTGCTACAGCCACTGGGCCAATGTGTTTTGTTTCTTTTTTTATAGCCTGTACTCAACAAGCATGGTGTCCTTCTCCAGTGAGAGCACTGCTCTTAACTCAAAGTTCAGTGCAGACTGGGAAACTTTGGAATATTTCTCCTGGGCTTTCCAGGAAGGAGGATGACTAGAAGTCGGAGGAAGTAGCAGTCAAGTTTATGTGAGTGACAGCAGAAGAGAGGAGGAGGGAAGGAAGACAGCCTAGCATTTTGGCTTTTCACTCAGCATTGCTCTGCAGGCACTCGGATTAGCCACTGAATAAATGCACTCGCATTTCTGGCATTTAATATTGGTGACAGTTGCATAACAAGATGCATAAAATTGGTCTCATTAAATTGTACATGCTAAAAAAGGTTGAACTGGAAAATATGTGTTTTCCATATTTTCAACCAAAAAAAGTAGGGAGGAACTTACAGATCTCAACAACAACAATAAGTAAAAGTCTCTGTACTGTAAGATGAAAATAACTTAACTTCCAGAAAGGTTAAAAACTCTTTACAGGAGCAGTAAGAGTTTAATCATGGGTCTAAATACAGCCATGAGGTGCTTTGGTTTGATTGTTCAAGTCAGGCTTTCCCTTGTTTTCCCCACATGTGGATGCACTTGAGAAGCACTGCTGGTGAGCTTCGCTGAGAAACCCCCAAGCTGCTTGTCTCCAGCAGTTCTAGCTTACAGGGGACCCGGTGGTAGGGAGATGGGCAGCCTCTTCCCACCATGACTGATAGCCTCAGAATCCATGGAGGGTTGCTGTGAGCTGTACTCGACTTGGTATAGGTGGCCTCTTCCCACCTTGGCTGAGAGTCGCAGAAGCCCATAAAGGGTCACTGCAAGCTGTACTTGACTAGGTATAAGCAGCCTCTTCCCACAGAGGGTCGCTGTGAGCTGTTGTTGACTTGGTGTAGACGGCCTCTTCCCATCATGAATGAGAGCCTCAGAACCCCAAGGATGGTCACAGTGAGCTGTACTTGACTTGGTGCCAGTAGGTTTTGAGTTTGATGGGCGCACGTTGATCTTTGTCGCTAGATTGGGTCATCCAGCAAAGAGATGTGACCTAGACCTGGTGCTCTGTCACAGCAGATGGTGGATCAAACTTTAAACTCCAAAAGATGAGCAATTAAAAATCCGGAAAATGAAAGAGTCTTGCTTAAATTTATTTGGGATCTAGAGGAATACCATTATATTTATTAAAACACTTGGAATTCTGTATAAACATGACTTTGTAAGCCCTGTGTTAATTTTATGTTGTAATTCTTAATGCCAAATTCATTCCATGCATTTGTAATTCCCTCTCCATAATTTTCACATTTAGTTTTACACCAACCATCTTTGAGATATACCTATTTGTTCATAGACTTAGCTTCATGTGACTTTAATATGTATGCATTCTAGTGTCTCAGAGACATCCTAGCATGCTGTAGTTGCTGCTAACATTTATCAATTTAAAAAAATTTTTTCAGGAGAGTTCTCAGGGCCTAGTGGCAAGAAGCTGCACTACAGTCCTGAAGGCCCACAGTTCGAGTCCACCAGATGCTCCACTGGAGAAGGAGGGGCAGTCTTCTCCTGTGCCAGTCAGCTCTAACTCAACAGTACATAAGAAAAAAAATTCAATAAAAAAATTTCTAACATCACCCTTTCCCTAAAATTCTCTTTAAATAGCGTAAAGATAAACTTCGGGAGCACATGCAAAGAATGCACAATCCTGAAAGGGAAGCCAAGAAAGCAGACCGCATCAGTCGCTCTAAGACCTTCAAGCCTCGCATCACATCCACAGACTACGACAGCTTCACGTTCAAGTGCCGCCTGTGCATGATGGGCTTTCGGAGGCGAGGCATGCTGGTCAGTCCGCTGCGATCATGCCTGCTGTGGTGGTGGCGTATCCACCGATAGTGAAGGGCTAGGAAGACAGAAAAAGACAAACCCCAGGAGGCCCAGGCTTCCCAGTTTGGATTTTGGCTGTCCATCCTCTTCTCTGTGCCCCAGGAACCTCTTGGAAGAAGTGTTTTTCTACTGCCTTCCACGACATATTTTATTTCTCTGCACCTTTTCCAACCTTTTTGTTCTTTTCTATTTTATTTCTCTCTTTTTTGGTGTGTGTCCCTGATATTGAGGCCTTTGCCTTTGCCCCACCTAATGCCTCTCTTCCCCAACAACAAACTGTTAGGAGTCTTCCCACCAGAGCAGGGTCTGTTAGTCCAGGTTAATGGGAAGGTCAGGGTCACCAGTTCACTGCTTGACAACAAACACATCCTGTGCTCATTCTAGTTGTTGAATATGTTGGTTTTTGGTTTTTTGTTTTTTTTTTTTTAATTTTTTATTATTGTGTGTGTGTGTGTGTGTGTGTACCATCAAATTGGTTCTGACTGGTCCAGGAGGAGATTGTCCCTCCTTTCCCGGCAGAGCATCTGGTGGATTCGAACCGTGTGCCTCTGGGATTGTAGTGCAGCTTCTTGCCACTAGGCCACCAGAACTCCCCTGAATATATTTTTTTAGAAAGTCACAGAGCTGGATTTAAAATTCAGACCTCATTTGATATTTTCAGTATGACTGAGTCAATGATTTTTATCTGAGAATTCACTGAAGAAAACCATGCTAGTGCAGCTAGCTACCCTTGGGTTCTTTCCTAACATGATTGTTTATGTGATCCACAGTGAGCCACTTCACTGTCAGGAGTTTGCTGAACTACTGTTAACACCTATTAACATAAAGTATTAAAGCCCTAGTGTCCAGTAAGTTTAGGGATACTAGTTGTGATCAAATGTCTTATTCCTTTAGGACATTACTTCAGAGAAATTTTATTATTATTTTTTTAATATCAGAGGAATTTGTTTAGCTTCTGTTCATAATGGGATGTCTCTCTCTCTTTTTTCCCTTTAGGTAAATCACTTATCAAAGAGACATCCTGACATGAAGATAGAAGAAGTGCCAGAATTAACTCTGCCCATCATAAAACCTAACCGTGATTACTTTTGTCAGTATTGTGATAAGGTAAAAGGAGGGCATGTGTTCTGAGGTCCTCTGTGGAGCTCGCCTGACTGCAGTTTGTGTGTGTATATGAGACATGTATGAGGAGTGTGCTGTTAACCCTCAGCAGGTGTTTCCCTGCTTCTCTGTAGTGTTCTGAAGGGCTGGAAATACAGCTTTATTTTAAGTCAGTTTTTTTTAATGGCAGTTGGCTGACTTTTATTGACCATTTCCTCTGTCTTTTACTACAAAAGAAGACCCTTTTGTATGAATTTGTTTTAAATTCTTGAACTCTACAATGAGAGTTATCATCTCAGTTTCTACATTGATGCAGAGGATGGGAAAGCACTTAATGGTGGAGTAGTCATTGTGCCACCTACTCTTTGCTTTTCTTTTTTTTTTCTATAATTATATTTTATTAATTTTCATAAACATTTACAGAGATTTTGGGTTTCCATTCATTCATTGTTGCACTATTCTCTCTATCCTCCTCCCAGTTTGTTCTTGTCCAAATGCCACAGTGCTTGTCAAAGCCAGTTCTGATTAATCTTCTTTGTCAGTGTGTCCTTTGCCATTCCCTATCACTCCTGCCTGAGAGAGACTTCACCCTGAGTCATAAGGAAAAGGGGACGGCGTATTCTCTTAGCTACTTCCTGCTGAAAAGGGATGCTGTGGGTTTCAGGGTGAAGATCTTCTCTCACTACTCTAAAGGGCCCCTTTGGCAGTAGGAAACACATAGACTATTATGGAGATTGATTTTGGAATTTAGATGCACTGTTATTAGTTGTGCTTAGCCGTACATGTTCATATCCTTGAAGATGTATCATGGGGGTGTTGCAACCTAGAAGACACAAATTTGACTAACAAGTTATAAGTACATGAGTCAAAAATTAGGGAAAAGTAAAAGAAAAGATTCTTTCATTGTTTTACAAACCCTCCCCCAGGTCCCCTCCACCATGTAGCCCTCGCTCTAGTCTCCTGTGATGACAGAAATACCTAGTTATATATCTCTTTTAAACAGTTTTCTCCCTCCTCTGTTTCAGTGCAGTATACATTATTGAACCCATCTTACTCAGTCTCTCCCCAACCCCAAGGACAGTCCCATTCTACAACAGTGGCATCATGTAATATTTGTCCTTTTGTGACTTACTCTTTGCTTTTCTACAGTTACAAAAAAAGACAGAAAGAGACTGTATTTGTTGTTTCCTGACAGTATTGTTTCCTTCTATAATATAGCTGTATTATATTTCAAAGATCTCTGTTATCTTTATAGAGTTTACGTTAGCTTAAAAGTAAGAAACATGGTTTGATTGAGACTGGTGGAATGAACCCTGAAAACGTGGCCCTGTGCCCCACCCCCACCCCCACCCCAGTTCATCTTTAAGCCAAACAACAGACAGGCTCAGAAAGTTAACAATACTTTAAGGAATGTGCTTCCCCGAACAGTTAATCATATGAGAACAAAAGGGCAACAGTAACCCCAAAATAAAGCTTGGAAGGCAGAAGGGGCAGGAAAGAAGGATAAATAGAAAGGGGAAGCCCAGGGAGGAAATGGAAAGGTTGCTGTTACATTGAAGTAATTTCAGTTACTGTTATAAAACAAAATGTGTATAAATATTTGTATAAATTGCTGAATGGAAAGAAAAGGAATCTGTTCTGTAAACTTTCATTCAAATCACCATGGGGGGGAAGTAAGCATTTTATAAAACATACTCTGATTGTACTAGTAGTTGTATTCTTGCTATGCTGGCAAGTTCTTTGATACTCAATAGTCAGCTACATGCATTAAGTGACATTGTTCCCAGAAGGACTAAATGGTGAACTGTCTTGAAAAATGAGTCTCTTTTTTGTGACTGTATAAGCCACCTTTTAAACTTTAGGATACGGAGTAATTTTACACTGAATACCTTGGATACATAACATTCAAAGAAGGTGTCTAGCGTACTTACATTATTTAATTTATGTTATATCTTTATTATCCTTTATTTATGTTATATTTTAAGCTACATGAACACTTTTTCTCATTTCCTTGTAACAGAAGTGTTTGATAGTGTTTTAAGCAAGAAAATGAGACTCTGTATTGATTTCAATGCAAAGCTTTTGAATTTCAGGTTTATAAAAGTGCCAGTAAGCGTAAAGCACATATCCTGAAGAACCACCCAGGAGCTGAGCTCCCGCCAAGCATCCGGAAACTTCGTCCTGCTGGACCTGGAGAGCCTGATCCCATGCTGAGTACTCACACCCAGCTTACAGGGACCATAGCAACTCCTCCTGTCTGCTGCCCTCACTGCTCCAAGCAGTACAGTAGCAAGGTATGGGGATAATTTTTGTCTGACAGATTGCAGCACAATCACTATTTCAGGGAGCTTTGAACATACCTGCCTAGAAAGCTCTGGAAGCTTTAAGAGTGTGTTAAGAATTGCCCTGGCTACCCATAAGCACATTGTTCAAATCTACCAGCTGTTTCTTAAGGAAAGATGGCCAGTCTCCTCCTATGGAATGTATGTTGTTGTTGTTGTTATGTGCCGTTGAGTCGTTTGCGACTCATAGCGACCCTATGTACAACAGCCCTAAACTGTGCTCTATCCTGTGCCAGTCTCATTGCCTCTGACACACCCATCCCGATTACCCCAGTCACTGAATCAATCCACCTCATAGAGGGTCTTCCCCTCCTGCACTGTCCCTCTACT